GCAGAATATTACCTTAACCACGTTTAAGTTTTTTTGTCAGTGTAAATAAATAAATTAGTTTGAATTTATTGAGTGGTCTGAAGCTCGCGCGCTACGCACCGTTGCCAAATGTTTTGACTCCATTTTAACGTAGTTTACTTGAGAATTTTTTGTGATTTTTAATTATTAATTTCTCAATAAATATCTCGGTAATTGATATATTTTATTGCAAAAAAAGAAATCTGAATATTTCGAAAATCTAATTTTTAGTTTTTTTTTACTTCATCTAATCTATGACTGATAGTATAATTCGAGAAATACTGCAAACGTCTGACTTTCTCGTAAGACTCTGAACAAATACTAACATTTAAAAATTTTATTTTTTCAAAAATTTGTCCGGTAAAGTATAATTTAAACCTCACTATTAGATAAATAAGGACTTCAACTATTAGAAAAAAATTTAATTTACTCATAATCTAATATTTTTTATTTTACATTGGCGGCGAAAGGACCTCCTTAAATAAGTAAAAATCATCAATTATTGAATTGTTTAAATTATTTTAAATTAAAATAAAAAATTTTGACGAATATTAAGAAGACTTAAAGTAAAAACAAATTTAAACATTATTTTGACTCATAAGTTACGCTCGAACCTCCTTAATCGATTTAAAAAAATCAAAAAATTTTTAGCTATTCATCATGTCCGCTGCTACATAAAAAAGACCCCAAAATCGACCGTAGAAGATCTTCCGGAAGAACCTCCAAAATGTCCAACAAAATCCAACAAAAAGCTCCCTCCAGAATGCGAGGAAATCTGCGGGCCCACTGCCGGCGCTCCGATAAACTACGACAGCTTCATGTCGAAGTGGTGGCGCCAAGTACTAGCAGCTTTACTGTTCACCAGCATGGGGATCAGTATTTACTCAAAGCTCCGCCAAGAGGAGGCGGCTTCTGCCAGCCCGGAAGGAACAACTAAGCCTGCCGGTTCCAAAAGTTCCAAGTCGCCAGATGTCAGCACCAAAATACCGACAGAAGTTCCGTACCTGCTGATAGGTGGCGGCACTGCCGCGTTCTCCGCGTTCAGGTCGATTAAGTCCAAGGACCCGACCGCGAAGGTCCTGATTATTAGTGAAGAGTCGGACTTTCCTTACATGCGGCCGCCTTTGTCCAAGGAACTCTGGTATGATAAGAACCAGGTTCCTAATGACTTGAGCTTCAGGCAGTGGAACGGAACCGAACGCAGTCTGTTCTACGAACCGACGGAGTTCTTCAAATCGGTTGAGGACTTGATGGCTTCTGATAAGGGAGGCATTGCTGTTGCTAGTGGGTGGAAGGTAATGATTTTTATAATTTTGGGGTTCGGTTATTTTTTTTTATTTTTTTGGTCTAATTTGTAATTTCGAAAACAAGATAGGAATTTTTTTATACAATTGATAATTATTCAGAAAAATTGGGAAGTTTATTTTGTAAGTGTATTGATTTGTTAGAACAATTAGTCGTATAGTCTTCCTTATTACTAATTTTTTTAACAAGAGTTATAAATATTTTATTAGCAGCTAATTTTTCAAACTAAATTAGTATGATTTCTTCCTAATTGCTAATTAGTTGGAATAATAAGTCATATATTCTAACTAGTTGCTAATTGAATAAAAAATAGTAACACTTCTTCTTAATTACTAATTTTTGAACAAAAATCACAAATATTTTTTCCTAATTGTTAATTTAGTAAACAATTAGTTACATATTCTCTTTAGTTACTAACTAGACGCCAAATAAGTGATTTTTCTGCCTAAATATTGATATATTGATAATTTATTAGCATCTCTTCCTAATTACCCATTTTTTATAAAATTGACATTTTTTCCTCATTGTTTAGATAGAAAAGTATATTTATTTATTCCTAATTGCCAGTTTATCAACAAAAATTAATAATATTTCTTTTCAATTCCTCATTTTTTAGTAAAGTTACCATTGTTTCTCCTCTAATCAATTAGTCATAGCAATTAAAAATTATTTTTTCCTAATAGCTCACTTTTCCACAAACATTATTTACATTTCTTCCTTATTACTAATTTAATCTGGACAATCAATATTATTTTTTTACTATTAATTTTTTTCTACTAAATTAGCAGCATTTCTTCCTAATTGCTATTTTTTCAGAACAATAAGTAACATTTCTTCTTGGTTATTGATTTTTCAGAAAAATGACTGATATTTTTTTCTCATTGCTAATTTATCCTTACAATTAACATTTTTTTTCTTTGTACGTATTTTTTCTCACTAGTAATATTTCTTCTTAATTGCTAATTTCTTCACAAAAATTACTTAGGGTAAATGCACCAATTATTGACCGATTAAAGTTTTCTTTTTCTGTACTAAGCTATAAAAAAATCTATTAACCTACTAAAAACAATTTGTAATGGATTTTATTAAAGTTAAATACTTAATTAATAATAATTAATAACTATTTATAATAAAAATTAACAAAATTATATTAATTTTGTTATTTGAATCATGAAATACTAAAATCACCAATTATTGACCGAAGAAACCCAATAAATGACCGACCGTCCTCCAATTAATTGACCGCTGAAATAATTACAAGTAATTTTGTAAACTACATGTATGTAATTAAATTTATGCAGTACTTTTAAAGTATTAACGACATCTTTAACAAAACTAAACATACAATATAATTTTAAATCGTACTTTTTTATAAAATAATATAAATAATAGCAATAATTAACATAAAGTCACATTTCTTTAGGTCACAAATAATCACAAATTCATTTTGATGACGATAATTCTTCTGATTCACTTGAAATTTTTTTATTCTTCTTCTTTTTTTTTCAATTAAAGCTTTTTTACTAGCTTGTAACTCTTTTTTATTTTTTTAATTGCTTAGCAATTTTTTTTTTTCTAATAATTCGTTCTTTGATATAACCGTTCACTAAAAAAATTAGAGCAAAATAAAACTTAATAATCAAAAAAGATTTTAAGTATTATTTTAATTATAAATATACATTTTATAATGATTATTTTTATATTTACAAACTATTTAATGACTAAAGTACTTTAAACACTTGGCAGATTTAATTTTGAGGTTAAGAAGTTAGTATTATAAATATACGGTCATTAATTGGATTGTGATAAAATCAGAGGGTCTTATCAATGACCGAATGAATTTTTTACTGGGTAAAGGGCTTCTGACGGATCCAATAGTTGACCGGTCTTAAAATAATATTAAAACTTATAATTTAACTTTATTTTTTCAAAAAAGTTGGAATCTGATCTTTAATTAACATAATAAAACTAAAATATTTTATATTATGCCGATAACTATCACTAAATTAATGATGAAATGCACTCACTCTCCAATTGTACGCTAGTTATTTTTGACCGCTTTATGGCTGGTTGCGTTGTAAACAAACTCAGAATATTTTTTTAAAGCTATAATCGCTGCCCAATTAATTGCGTAATTTTTTATTATGATGATTAAATACCATATTTTTTTATTTTAATAATTTAAGAAAAAAAAATCCTTGTAAAATATTAATTAATTAACATTTTTATACATCGGTCAACTAATTGGTGACCGGTCAACAACTGGTGCATTTACCTTACTAATTTGTCATCAAAATTAATATTATTTTTCTTACTACTAATTTTCTTCTCTATCAATTACTAATATTTTTTCCTAATTGCTTATTTTTTTTTAAACAATCACTGACATTTCTTCCTACTTACTCATATTTTGGATCAACTAGTAATTATTTCTTCCTACTAATTAGTTACTAATTTGTCAAAACAATTATAATTATTTTTCTTGCTACTAATTTTTTTCTCAATCAATTAGTAATATTTCTTCTTAATTACCAATAAATTGTAAGACCTAGTAATTATTTCTTCCTAACTGCTAATTTCTTAAAACAATCAAATAATTTTTTCTTCTCGACTACAAGGTCATCGCCGTAGACGTATACCACAAGGTCGCCATTTTGGAAGACGAAACCGAGATCAAGTTCGACAAGTGTCTCTTAGCAACCGGCTCGACCCCCAAGATGCTAGATGTCTTCAAAAACCTCCCCAAAGAAGTCCAAGACAACGTCCTGACCTTCAGAACCAAGGACGACTTCATGAAGCTGGCAGAAAAAGTGAAGAGTCCATCAGTAAAAGACATCGTCATTCTCGGTGGCGGATTCCTGGGCTCGGAACTAGCTTGTAGTTTGGCCCGACATCTGTCGGAGGTCAAGAAGAACGTCTACCAGATCTACAAGGAGAACTTCATCATGCAAGCCGTACTCCCGGAGTATCTGTGTCAGTGGACCACCGAGAAGTCCAAGAAAGAGGGAGTCATCTCAGTAGCCAGGGAGGAGGTCAAGAACTACCAGGTCCAGAATGGAAAGCTGAAGCTGTTCCTGACCAGCGGACAGGCTGTCAATGCTGATGCAGTGGTGATAGCAGTTGGCTCTGAAGCTAACACAGAGTTGGCTGAAGCCAGTGGCCTGGAAGTCGATAATAATTTCGGAGGGTTCCTGGTGAATTCCGAGCTCCAGGCCAGGAAGGACATCTGGGTAGCTGGAGATGCTGCTTGCTTTCATGACATCAGGCTTGGAAGAAGGCGGGTCGAGCATCATGACCATGCTGTTGTCTCTGGGAGACTGGCTGGGGATAACATGACCGGAGCTGGTGAGTACCAGGGTTGTTTCTGAGGATAAATGTGCTGCTGGAGATTACCAGAGTTATTTTAGCTTCATGGCAGTGTGCCCTTTGGAAAATAGAGGAAATTCTAAAAAAAATGACCACCCACAAGCCCAGGTTTGGAATTGTACCGTGAAGTACGAATGAAGTACTATTTATCGTACTTCAATCGTACTTCACGGCACAACTTCAAACCTGGGCTTGTAGGTAGTCATTTTTTTTGAAATTTTCTCTAGAATCTTAGGGAACTCTTAAATTTTGTCTCCAATCAACCCAGAGGCTGAAAAAGCAATAAATTCACTCAGAGCTTAGAGAAATGTGGGGAATAAACTTTAATACTAAATCTTGAGTAATTCAATTAGATTCGAGTTACCGACTAGGGCCGCTTGATTTTTCTTACTAGCTACCAATAAGAATGCTTGTTCCAGGTAAGCCGTATTTGCATCAATCTATGTTCTGGAGTGATCTGGGACCTGAAGTTGGCTACGAAGCTGTTGGTATAATAGACTCTTCGCTACCGACAGTGGGGATTTTCGCCAAAGACTACCAACCGGAGGCAACTAATGCCCTCAATCCGCAATTAGTATCTCAGAGTCATGAAGAGAAGGAAGATAAGAATGATGATTATGGAAGAGGGGTTGTTTTTTATCTTAAAGACGATACTATCGTTGGTATCGTTCTCTGGAATATTTTTAATCGCATGTCCATTGCGAGACAGGTAATTTTTTGTTTTGATTTTAAGATTTATTCATTATTATAATATGAAAACATTCAAAAAATGTTCATGCAAGTCAGATGTAGGATATAATTATATATTGTTCTGTATAATTTTAGATTGTTTCACAAATTTGGTAGAGAAGTGTATAATTATATGGGTTCTATATTGTTTTATATAATTTTACATTTTGTCATTTGACTTTGTCCGAAAGTATAATTATATGAGTTTTGGTTATATAATCTTACATTGTTCCATATAATTTTATATTGCCCTAAATAATTTTACATCGTTCTATTCAATCTTATGTAGAGATAATTATATAAGTTTTGATCATACAAAATTTTCATATTGTTTTATATATTTTTTTGATCGCTTCATATAATTTTAGTTTGTTTCATATTATTTCATACTAATCCATATAATTTTATATTGTATGTAATTTGATTAAAATGTGTATAATCATGTGAAATTTTGATCCTATATAATTTTACATTGTTTCTTATAATTTCACATTTTTCCATATAACATTACATTTTTCTATATAACATTACCTTGTTCCATATAAATTTACATTGTTCTATATAATTATACATTGTTCTATTGATCTTATATAAAGATATAATTATATAAGTTCTGAATATAGAAAATTTTCATATTATTTCATATATTTTTTGATCGCTTCATGTAATTTTACTATATTTTATATACTTTTATACTAACCCATATAATTTTATATTGTTGTGTGTAATTTTATAGGAAGGCGTATAATCGTGTGAGATTTTGATCCTATATAATTTTTTTTACATTCTTTTATATAATTTTATGTTGTTACGTAGAATTTCACATTGTTTCATATAACATTACATTTTTCTATATAAATTTACATTGTTCTATATAATTTTACATTGTTCCATATAATTCCATATTATTCGAAATAATTTTACATTGTTCTATTCAATCTTCTGTAGAGATATAATTATATGAGTTTTGATCAGATATAATTACTTTGTTCCATATAATTCTTTACTAATCCATATAATTTTATATTGTATGTAATTTTCTAGAAATGTGTTTAATCATGTGAAGTTTTAGTCCTGTATAACTTCACTTTGTTTCATATATTTTATGTTGTTCTATAGAATTTTACATTGTTCCATATAACATTACATTTTTCTGTCTAACATTATCTTGTTCCATATAAATTTACATTGTTCTATATAATATTACATTGTTTCGTATAAGTTCACAATTTTACAATATTCTACATAATTTGAATATTTCTACCCATATTCAATATTTAACATCCTTAATTTTATTTTCCAGGTATTAACAAGAGGAAGTAAATTAGAAGAAATAAATGAACTAGCAAAACTGTTCACAATCCACGAGGACTAATAATAATTCCTAATTTAATCTAACTTTAAATATCTCAGGACGTGAAAATGAGAGTGAGTGAGAGTTTGTACATAAGAGGATTTTTTAAAAAATTATATATACACCGTAATCATGTTTATAGCGCGTAAATTACTTTTGCAATTAGATGAATTGGTGAATAAATTTATTAATTTATGAAAAAACTTAGTCTTCATTTTCCTCCTCGGAGGCTTGGTGCGTCATGGAAGGAAGAACTTTATTCCTGTATCTTTTAGCCAACCTATCCATAAAACTGAGATAGTCGTGGCATTTGTAGTCACTTAGATCCTAAAAAAATTAACATTAATTTTTCTCAATTTTCAGACTAAACATTTTTAAAGCTCACCAGAAATTCGGGCCAAGAATTTCCGTCGATAACGTCCTTCATTATAATCGGCTCGCAGTGTTGAAGTAGCGAGACGCAGTAGTAGACGATGTAATCTGGAAGATTTATGAGGCAGACGCATAGAAAGTTCAAGATTTCATTCCATGGTAGCGCCCCCATGAACATCTGTGTGAGCAGACGGTCGGAAATTATCCACCATTTTATTCCGAATTGTCTCTGGAAAGGAAAGAAAAAAATTCGGGCTCAATATTCATGTTAGAAGCAGAGAAACAAAAATAGTTCAAATTCCGGTCGCTAGGGGTAAATTCTGTGAGTCGACCAATTGGCATTTTAACCATCTAGGACTTTTTTAGAAGCCTTATAGATAATTTGTGCCAAATTTGAGTTTTTAATTTGCGATAGAAGCCGAGAAAAAAAATTATTTCTATTTCCTGCTGCTAGGTGGCGAATTCTGTAAAATACCTTGAGCGCGAAATTTAACTTTGGTAGCTCAGTACAAACAATGGCTTCGATATGTCGAGCAATAATAAACTGCGTTCCGTTTTCTTGCTCATTGTTGGTATCAAAAACAGCCGCAAGATTGCGCCACATGTAAACGGCTGACGGCAATCTTACCAATTGTTTAATAAATCCCTTGCATCTGAAAAGTATAAAATAAAATTAGTGAGTCAATGATGAATTTGCGAGCTTTATTCTAAAGATATGATTACAATTTTATTGTAATTGGGTATAAATCTTTTGAAAATGTAAGATAAGTTTTCAATCTGAGACTCATTGCTAATTTTTATTACTCACCTTTCGACGTTTCCGTCACAAACAACAAATATTACGGTCAAGAACCAGTCGAATCCTCGAAACTTTCCGTCTTTTTCGTACTGAATAAATCCGTGAATTTTACCGAAAACTTCCTTCAAGTTTTCTTTAATTTTATCGGGTTCTTCAAGTTCACAGTTGTCTTCCGCGAACCTAGCCGCTAAATCAAACCCTATTTCTTCTTCTGGTAGCCAGGAGTATGCGGATTTTTCTTCCCATTGGAAAATTTCAACCCATTCTACGGTAGGTATTGCTTGTTCCATTTGTTCCAGGAGTTTTAAAATGGTTCCATGCTGGAATAAAGTTTTTTTTATGTAATTTATGAAAATATTAATAAATTTGTAAAAATCCAAACTCATTCATAAATTACAACTTCAAAAATGAAGCACGGCTACAACTTCATTAACAAAGTTAAAAAATGCAATTTAATTTGTGAAGCACAAACACATCTTCATTTATGAAGTACAACTTCAAAAATGAAGTACTATCACAACTTCATTTACAGAGTTAAAAAAATATGGTTTAATTTGTGAAGCACAAACACACCTTCATTTATTAAGTACAACTTCAAAATTAAGTACACTCCGTTTATGAAGCACAACTCCAGAATGAGGTACGCTTAATTTATGAACTGCATTTTCATTCACGAAGAACAACTCAAATGGAGTATAAAGAACAACTTCACAAATGAAGTATGAAGGACAACTTCACAAATAAAGTATGAATAATAACTCAATAAATGAAGTATGAAGGACTTCACAAATAAAGTACGACTGATAACTCAATAAATGAAGTATGAAAATAACTTCACAAATTAAGTGTGAAGTACAAATCCACGAATGAAGTACTATTACAACTTCACAATTGAAGTACTATTACAACTTCACAAATGAAGTACGAATACAACTTCATTCAGCAAGTAATAACAAACCTTCATTAACTAATGTCACTTCTTTTATGAAGTAATAATACAAATTCATTTGTCAAGTGCTAATACATCATCCACGCTTCACTATTATAACCCCACAAACTATGTAAAATTACAACTTCGCTAATGAAGTAGTGCAACTTCATTTATGAAGAACGAATGACACTTCATTTATGAAGAACGAATGACACTCCACAAATGAAGCAGGAGTACATCTTTACTAATAAAGTATTAATACAACGCCATAAATAAAGTACTAAATGGGCTTAACAGATAAAGTACAATATGAACTTCATAAATGAAGCACTAATTGTACTTCACAGCCTTACCTTAATAACCCCAGGCGAACTTTTATGGGCTTTTTTAATCTGCGAAGCCCAAGAACTATCTTTAAACCCCGGCTTACATTCACTAAGAAGTTCGTCAAGTTCCGACTCAGACTCAGAACTTCTTCGACCCACTTCATCTTCAACTGCTGGAGGAAAAGCATCAAAAATTTTCACTCGCTCTGGCTCCTCACCCCAACTAAGTTTATGCTTGAAAAAATAAGAATTCCAAAGTATCTTATGCCTCAAATAAGCGCAATGATCCACCGCAAAAACTTCATGAACTTCACAAACTGCACTTTCACCCTCACTCTCGAATCTGTAGACTTCGTAGCCATCATAAATCTCATGTACTTCACTAACTTCGCCACGTACTTCATTTTCCACAGCAATTTCTTCCTGAAATTCATCTTCCTCAACTTTTTCTGTAAACTTCGAAACTTCCAACCGACAATTCTTTTGAAGTTCCAGCAATTTTGTCTGTAGATCATAAGTGTGCATTAACAGAATTAAAATATCTAAATTCCATACCATAGTTTCCAAAACCCGAAGACTCAGCTCATGATAAACCGATTGATCCATCAACGAGTGGCTGAGCAGCTCTCCAAAGCTCCTCGGATATTCTTCCTCCTGCCAGCTGTCGCCCGAGTCCAGTGCAAATATACTGTAACCTAAAATCCCAAATTACCCCATAAATATCGATCCTAACTCCCTCCATAAATTTTTCACCTCTCCGCCAGTGTGTCCTCCAAAAAACCGAGAGAATGTCAAGAAAAATGAGTACCTACAAGCCTATGTTTAAAGTTACACCATGAAGTACGATTAATCGTACTTCATTCGTACTTCACGTCACAATCCCGAACCTAGACATGTGGGTACTCATTTTTCTCAGAATTCCTTTTTAGATTCTTTGGCACCCTCAATTTTCGTCCCAAACCACCTCAGCACCCAAAATACTTACATTCAGTGTTCAAAGCCAGCAGCGCCACAATATGTCCATACTTCTTAACATTCTCCTGCTCCCAGGGCTCCGTAAACATCTCCCTCTCCTCCAGATTCTTATAAATATCCTCTAGTAGCATTGAAAAAGTCTGAGCTACTAGCTGCCGCATGATTCCTCTAGCCTGATGAAAGAACCCCGCGGCGCTGATAAAACACACCGTTTCCAAACTATCCCACGAGTTCTTCAGCGGATTAATCGCCCCACGAATCACTTCCTCAAGGACCGTTTCCCTGTCCTTGATCATCTCCAGCCCCCTAGGAGTCGTCGCGATCTTCATCACAAAGCTCTTCGCAGCCGCATCAAGCTGCTGGGTCCAATTTTCAAACCCAATCCCACACTTATCAATCTTATTATAAAAAAACTCCAATGCCTCCATCAGTTCCTCAAGTTCCTCCACCACCACTTCAACTTCAAAGAACTGCTCCAAGAACTTGAACATCTGGACCACCAGTTCCACGTCCATCACTGCGAACGGCTGCCTTAGGAGTTCCCCCGCCAACATCAAGATCTTTCCAACGCCATTTTCCATCAAGAACGCCCGTCCATCTTGGAGTTCCGCCATCACAACCAAAGCGTCGACAGTGTGCGCCCAAATCTTCCCACTTTGAAGTGGCTTTACCACCAAGTGGAACAGACCAGTGTCCACCGGAAACTGAGGAGTCAGAACTCTGCTCAAAGCCAGCCTTGTTTCCCTATAAACTGGCCTAGAAGAGGTCGAGTTCCCCGCGGAACTGTTCAGGAACGCCACTAACTTCTTACAGAACTCCGCAGGTGATGGTTCCTCGGTAATAACCTGCCTGCCATCCGCGGAACCGAAGACCAGTGCCATGAAATGAAGGCAATGGAAGTACGTCAAGGTCTCGACAGTTTCTCCGGATATGAAGACGGAGTTCTCTATTGTGGCAACGATAGTTCCAGAGTTCTGAAGGCCAGTTTGCACCTGGTGAAGCACGATTTGCAGGAAATCCGAGTTCTTGGTGACTGCGGCTATAAAAATCTTTCTAGCAGCGGAACTCCGGGTCCATTTTCTCACCCAAAACGCTCCAGGTTCCAAAATAGCCACCAGATTGAGAACTTTCAAATTTTTCTGCAGAGTTCCGGAGTTCCGCGTCAGGAACTCCAGGAACTCCTCGATAGTTTCTTCAGCTTGAGCTTGAGGGCGAACTTGGGCAAGGTCAGAGATCTGCGAAATGATCAAGTGCAGAACTCTGAACAATTTTTCATGGAAGAAAATCTTGAAGTTCACTCCAGTGTTGAAGTTCGGAACTTGTTCCAAGTTTTTTTTGTCGAAGTACGCATCGAACAGACTCAGGAGGCTGCTGAAGACTTCGGGGCCCTTTGGAGTGGTTAGCAGGCGATTGTAAGCCTGTAAACTGGCCGCGAAAATTGGGCTGCTGGAGTCCAGAAGACCCTGCCGGAGAACTCCGAGTAAACTGCGGAACACTTCGTCGGGGAGGGGGGAGGCCAGGTCGCTCTCGAGGAGGATTTCGAAACTGGCCAAGCGGACGTGGTTAGGTTTCGACGGAGCGAGAGATTCCAGCAGGTTCGGAATGTCCGTTTGGGCCTTGAAGGGGCTCCAGGGGTCCGTGTCGAAGGAGAGGGCGCTGCAAGCACTTTCTTGCTCGGCGGGGAGGGTCTTTTGCTTCGAAGCTGCCAGCAGGCGCTGGAGTTCCGGTGTTGAGGTTAATTCGATGACCAAAGACTCGATGTCGGTGTTTTGGCGTAATTTGGAGGTTATCGAGGGCAAAAAGTCCGATTTTAAGGCTTCTAACAGCCATTTTTGTTTTGTTGGTGTCAACTCGGTCATAACTCGCGGGATACTAAGGGGTATTGATATCTTGTTTGTTGTGGTTTGTCGTTGCTAGGCGACCGACAGGTGCGGGGTAAGCTGGGTGTGACTGGTTTTAAAGAAAGAGGGAATTAATTAGAAGGATTAGGAATTTAAGAAGGTTTTTTTTTAGAGATGTACAATATCTACTGAAAAACAAATAATAGTTTAAAAAAACGAAAAAACACGCTTTTTATAGAAAACCAAAGTAAAAAATAGAAAATCAATTTTAATAAATTTGAGTTAAGAATAGTGTAAAAAACTTTGATAAATATAAATTAATTGTAGTGTACACTGTTAAAAATTTTTGTAAAATTACAATCATATTACAAAACAAATAATAAGTAAAATTACAAATCAGTGTATAGCAATGCAAAATAAAATACAATTCATGTAATTTTCCAACACCTATCAGGAAATCTACTAAGATGTATTGTAATTTAACAATCTTTATGTATAAACTAAACACGCATTGTAATATTACAGAACCGTTCGTCAATTTAAAAAAAAAAAACAGCTTTTTAATTTTGCAAACATTATTTGTGATCTGATTCGGCATAATTGTATGTAAAATCACAAAAAAATATTGTAATTTATATTACAATCATCTCATAAAAAATTTAAAAAGCTTAACTTTAATAAATAAAGTAATTTAATCGATGTTAAACTAAAGAGCGCCACCAGGTTGTTGAAACGGTGTTCTAATAAAAATCGGAGAAGAACAAGAGAGAAAATCCATACGGTAGGAGAGTTTAGGAATTGATCTAGAAATAATAAAAACGATAATTTAGATTCATCAATTATTTATTATACAATTCATTCTTACAAGCATATTATAAATTTAAATGATGAATTATCCCCATGTAACATGTGCTTGAGCAAAATTTTGGTTCAGTGTCTTCAGTAAAACCCGTAGTTGTTGATGTCTTTTTCTACGTATGGATCTTGCTCAAGTTCGTGAAGAAGGAACTGGTTCAAGATTTATATATAACTAGCTCAAGACATCTTTTACAAGAATATGAAATAAGTTTGATGCAAGATGCATTGAAAAACTTTCTGACGCATTTTTTGAATTAGAAACTCACAACAGACACAGTGACGCGACCGCTCATCCGCAGACAATTCATCCGCGACGATTAATCCGCCGCGACACTTCATCCGTGGATGATTGATCCGCACGACAATTGATCCCAACTGGAGGGGTCCAGGGGCGAAGCACAGGCGGGGGTTGGGGGCGGAGCCAACATTTGAATGACTTTATTAATTTTTATTCCAATAATTTAATATTGTTGGGTATAATGTCGAAGAAACACACACAACAACCTTGATAAAACGTCACATCACGGATCAATTTTCGTGCAGATCTTTCGTCGTGCGGATCAATTATCGTGCGGATCAAAAATCCACGGATGAAATGTCGCGAATGAATTGTCTTCGGATAAAGTGTTACGTAACCACAGACACTTATCCATGACTTGCTCAAGATTTGTAATTCTCAGTAATTTGTTCATTTCTGAAGCATTTGTCAACCAAAAACTAACAGAAAATGTTGAAGCGTGACTTGCTCAAGATGCATGATGCATTATGTATTTTATAGGCATTTTTTCCCCTCCACTACTTGAAAATGTATTGACTTAGTGGTGATCATTTTAAAATAAATTAATCTTGATCGATATCTACTGATCCTATTTGCTACAAGAAATTGAGATTAGACTTGCTCAAGCCTTGAAAAAGATTGCTATATGGGCAATTACCATTATATAATCCCTTAAAATAGAGGGACAACCCGTACTTTGATTCACGGGTACGTAGACCACCTCACCTCAAATTCTTTACCAAATTTCGATTAAATACCAATTTAACAATTATTTTAGAAGACTTCTCATATAAAGGGAAAACCGTACTCTCTATCCCGCATAACTCACACTAAATTATTTCCCATCAACGACATAAAATTGAATAATTATTAAGACCAACTGAATATTAACAAATCGTTGTCAAATATAATTAACGAGTTTTTCGACGCACATTAATGATAATATATTGCTTTATCGTTCTTAAATCTTGTAGCAGTTGTATTTTCAATGCAGAAAAATTTTTAGTTAGAAGTTCTGTTGTAAAGCATATAACAGCAGAAAAAAGACCAAGCCCGAGCAAATAAAATGCAAAAATAATATCTCTCATCTCTATAGGACGAGGATACTTTTCCTTTTTACCAGTGAAGAATTCAATGATTGGTCTATTAGAATCGGATTTTTCTTTATCCCACAAGTCCTTTATTCCAGATTGCATCAACGCCATGATGAGATTATTAACGCGATGTCTCAAAGGCCAGTTATGTCGCATAATAAGCGTAGAGCAGTAGACTATTAGAGGATTTTTAGGGGTGTGCATTTTGTAGCGAGCTTTTTCATTATCTGAGTTATGACTTTTACTAATATAAGCGACAGATTTATCAGAGATATACTTTCTGAACTTGCTTTCCGATTCAAAAACAGTTTTGTTCAACAAAACTGGGTCGGTTATGTAAGATTCGCTTCCGATACGTGCGTAAATTCTTGTATAATGAGGATCCTTTAGGTCTTCCAGAGTCTCAACATTTTTTCTGTACACAGGTTTTGTCAAAAAAGTCGCGAGATGACCGGAAAAAGTTGCCTGGATAATAAGGAAGTATAAAAATATGACAGAAAAAAATATTCGGATCTTAATTGTGTCCATTCGCGTGTACAACGAATTGTTTATCATTAATCTCAAGCACTCGAAGATGGAAAATGATAATTTTGAACTATTTTCACTATTTGATCGATAAATAACGGTAAACGTCATCAGAAAAATGATGATAGTAGCAACAATTATTAACCATCCATAATACTCAAACATTTTTTCCAAAGGTGACGCAAATCCACGATTGTGGGTTATTATCTCATCATAGAAATATTTGAGTGGGTACGATAGATAAAATATAAGGCCGGCCAATTTTTTCTCAGGTAGAGCGGGTACTAGACTCAATTCTAAACGACGATCTATTAACATAGGGTAAATGTCATTGGCAGAGTGATTCCAACTGTTGAAGACTGTAAGCATAGAGATGTTCAAATACTTAGTAAAGACTCCGATTGTTTTTGCTTGCAATTTTCCCATTCTATTCCCCATTTCAGTTATGTTAGAGTCTTTAGTGTATTTACGTTTACTTATGAGGAGTCTCTTCGGCACATACACTGATACTTTTATCGTGTACCCGTTCAGTATTTTCGTACGATCAAAGAGAAGATTTTCGCAGAGCTTAGAACCTGTTGGAAGAAGAATTTATTAGTAACAATTTATTAATTTTTGCAATTTTTTTGAAGCTTACCGTAGTCAAGTTTAGTTTTTGTATCGTAATGAGCTTCAAAAACTGTCCATAACTGGGAAACACCATTATCTTTATAGGGATAATCGCCTATCTTGCTCCAAAATGGCGGAGCGAAATTCGCAAAAGCGTTTACGGTTATTATTCCAAGGATTCTTGATCTTACGATACAATAGAAAGCTTTAAAATTTTCAAACTGTTTTTGAAACCAAAGGAATGAACTGATGATCGTAGTGATCGTAGAATCTTCATTAAATTTACGATTATCGAAAACAAACATTGTTTCTATCGCTAGTAACGGGAATGTTTTATTTAGGAGCTCTTCAGGCATCGTTGGATTCAAGTCGTCAAGAACTATCACGAAAAACTTAATTCCTCGGGTTGGTGGTTTCAATAGCACATTACTGTCGTTTAACAAAACAATATCAGCTTCATTGTCAGCCAGGAAAATTCTGTCATTATTGAACAATCCGATGGTTCCGAATCCCGTCCCGCAATTATGAAGCAAGTCTTTCTAAATTCAAAAGAAAATAGTCAATAAACAGTTGGTTTATTTATTTTATTTTTCATACCATCATGTTGATGAACCAATCCATATCGTCTTGTTGAGGAACTTGAATTTGCCCAATAACAAAATTTTGAATAAAAACTATAGCAATTATTGCTCGCATTTCAAATGTTCGACTTACTGTGAGCAGGTAAATTTTTATTGGTTGCTTATTGTTGCACACCTTACTTATATTCTCACTCAAATAGTGATTGTTTAGTCACGCTAGTTTATTTTGTCAGCAAATATAACTCTCTTTTATTAAAACAAAGATGACTTATTCTGATCTAGTGATAGTGTGAGCATCAAAACAGTAATTAGAACTTGAAAAACTCAACTTCTTAGCTTTCGTTAATATTTTATTAATAATATGGTGAAACAATTAAACAAAAAAGACCGTAGAAAGGGTTGAATGATACATATTGCTTGATAACAAATATTATTAGTCAGGTTGATTTATATAATGTTTTTCTTACGATAGTGCATGAGTAATTTATTATCCTGTAAAATTATCAAATAGTAGTCGAGAATTTAGTTGTAAAATTAAATTCTAAGCTGGTGAGTGATGATTAAACTCTAGCATGGCTTTCGAATAAATAATTTCGAAGTCTCCGGAAATTATAAATAATGATCTTGAAAGTGAGAAATTGGAATTGTATAATTTTCTTTTCGACTGCAAGACTTATTTTGTAGAACAATTCAATAACAAAACAAAGGACTCCAAAGAGTAATCTAAAAGCTAAAAGAATAAATGCAAAAGAGAGATCTCCAAATTCAACAGGTCGGTAGTAATTTTCGGCTCGGTCTTGAATTATTTCGAATTTTCTTCTAATTGGTTGATTATTATTTTCGTGCCAACGGGTTAGAATATGCGATTCTGTCCACCTCATTATAACTTTATTAACTCGCTCTCGTAAGCCCCAATTTCCTCGCATTACTAGTGTAGAGAAGTCGAATTTAAGATATGACTTCGATTTGTAGAAATTGTATTTGAGTATTAACGGATTTAATTTTTCTTCATAATCAATTAAAGCTGTGCGATTATCACCCATAAACCAGTCGGTTAACCAGTCATCTCTTAAGGAATCTATCGTCACAAGTTTATCCATCAACAGTCCGTCCGCGATGAAATCCGAGTCATAGAGTCTCTGTGGCACAAGAATGTATTGGTAATGAGGATTCTTTAGGTCATCAAGAGTTTCAAGATTTTTTTCTGTGCACAGGTTTAGTCAAAAATGCCGCAAGATGCCCGGAAAAAGTCGCCTGTATGATTAAGAAGTAAAGAAAAATGACGGAGAAGAATACACGTATATTATCATTATTTATTCACGTGTAGATTCCGGAGCTGATGATTAATCTCAGACATTCGAACAGTGCGAAGGAAATTCCATAATTGTTCGACTGATAAATCACCAGAAACGTCGATGATAAGATAATGATGGTAGCGATGATAGTCATCCAACCGTAGAACTCAAACATTTTCTCCAAAGGGCTCATTAGACTGCGGTTCGGAGTCACAATTACATCGTGAAAATACTGAATTGGATATGATATACAGATAGAATCGTAATCTCCATTGAATATGGACTGCGGAAGAGGTTGCAGAACAATATACTGTTTGAGTAAATTGAATCGGAGCGTAATTCCAATATTTTCTTCATCAGATGATCGTGAAAAATCAATAGTTATATTTAATGAAATGTTCAAAGATTTCATAAACCATTGGCTGTAATTTCCGTACTCTTCACCCAACAGCTCAACTATTTCGTTTGTGGGAGTGTTTTTATTTATCAATTGATTCACTGATTCTTTTGGTTTTACATCGAAGTTATCGGTATCGTTCACCGGAAAAACATACCCAATATTTATGGTGTAGCCAAAAAGATGTTCAGTTCGGTCGAAGAAGATATTTTTGCAGAACTCAAGATCTGTATCAAATAATATTTTCAGTACAAATATTTTCGAGCTAAATTTTTAAAACTTACCTGTTGTATTATCAGAGCTACTATACATTGTTTTATAAATTCTAAAATGTAAGTCCCAAAAATAAATATTAACAAAAATATCTTGAACCTTTACCCAATTTGCTGGTGCTGAATCCGTATAAGAGGTTGTGGTTAGAATTTCAATTTTTCCTTCATTAGTTACATAACAGTAATAAAGTAATGTATTTTGCATGGTGTAGTCTTCGCCTGCAATATTAGGAATCAAGTCGTTTAATTTGTGTTTCCAATAATATCCACTTCTATCAAAAACAAACAAGATTATTAATTCGCGTCGATCGCCTGATTTTCTTGTTCTTATGAACGGAAAATCGTGGAACAAGTCGTCAATAAAAATCTCGAAAGATTTTATATGTGGAAGAGAAATTTTATGTGGCCAGTCGTCATTACTCAAAACAACATCCATCTCACCATCTTTTAGAAAACTTGGTTGATTTCCCCATATCCCGATAGTTCCAAACTCTTTTCGGCAGTTGTTGGACAAGTCTCTCTTAGATCCAGCAAATTAGTCAATTAAATATTAGCCATTTATCAATTATTTTAAATATTTACCATCATGTTGTTGAACAATGTCACATCATTATCATCATCATCATGAGGCGGAAGTAGGATTTCACCTATCACAAAGTTCTGAATTAACATCAAAATAATTAATTTCGACATTTTTATGAATTATCTGTGTATTAATGCAATCAGTAACTTACTGGTTCTAACTACGTTTTTTTTTTTTTTCCTTTAAGAATAGATAGTATGTTTGATAAATTACCCTAAGACCTTTTTGGATTACTCATTATGTAATCACATATGGTCAAGTTAAAGATGACGTTCCAATATTTGCTGATTTGGTTAAACAAATTTTATTGAATTAGTAAGGGCTGACTGTCACATTTGTCTTGTATTTTGATCAAAAAGCACTAAAGAGATTTCAGTGCTGATATTTCGACGGGTCACCTCATCTAAAATTCATTGAGCTGAGTCTTTTTATGTATAGTTATCAATCACATTCTAGAAAAATATTCTTTAAATTCGAGACTGTCATGGAGAACATTAAGAATTTAAAAATGTATTTCACATCGAAGTCGATAGAGACGCATACCCTGCAAGTCTACGAATGTCACCCACCTAGGCTCCTGCTAATGATGTTGAGCACTTGTTCGAATGTTGTGACCGTAGAATGATATTTCTTGAATCCGAGTCGATTACTTAAAAATATATATTTTTTCGAGCATTTTCAGCTTTAAAGTAACTAGAAGATCTAAAAATAGTCTGCACTGATAAAGATAATCGCTTGTCAAATTTTTTACTTTTATTAAGCCACCAAGGACATGATCGTATTTGATTGTATGAATGGTTCTCAAACAGACATTTGTGATCGCCAATTGGTAGGTATTTTCTACGCTAGCTTGAACAAGACTGCAAAGGTTCTATCACGGAAAAATGAAAATACGAATAATTGACTATTCGTTAAGCATTTTTTAGATTTTCAAATAGTAACCCAGCGCTTCGTTAACGAAAATCTAAAAGTTACAGATTGGCGCTAATACGCAGTAAGTTTTACATTTTGAGTAAGAAATATTAGAGTTTCACGATGTATAAAAGTTACTATCTCACCGTGTAAGTTTTTGTACAAGTCATTGAAATAATACTCGATAAGCGTTAAAATTTAGATTTTCATTTAACAAGTTTGAATCCGATTTTTTACACGGAAATAAAAAAAAAATATCAATATATAAAATATTTTTTTTCTCCCATTAATAATACTCACTACCTAAATATTTATATCCTAATATTACAATAAGTAACAATCTGTCATATATTGAATTTTAGTGTGGCAAAGATGGAAAACGGCAATTCTAAAGTCTATATGTGAAACAAAAAAAAATTTTTTTTTGAATGAAATTTAATTTTTGGTATTGGTTATTCATATATTCATGGGACATATTTCTTATCATATTTATTTTCGAAGTTTTTAATTTGAGGAAGGGTAGAGGGGATTAGTATTAGGAAATTAGTTGATAATATCACACACATACTCGCGTTTCTTATATAAATAAACTTATAATAATATTAATCGCAAATTACCCTAGCGAGGATTCGATCCCAGCGTCTACGCATGAAAGACCAACGTTTTATTCCGACGCTATTCGAACGACATAGCATTCTGTGTAGTAGAGTGTAGTTATAAGCTACAAGCGTAAATAGTATGCGTCGACAATTAATAGTGACTGAAAAAAACTAAGTCCAATTTCTACGGGAGAGGGGATAGAATTTTCTACCGCTATTCAAACATTGTTGAGCCAAACGTTAAATTTTGGATTTTAAGCACTAAGTTCCTGGCTGCTAGAGTATTGAGTGTACTTAATATAGAAAATCTAAAAATTACAGCGTGAGATACAATAGTTACTTTTTCTATACTAACGTTCATAATTCGTATCTCACACTGTAAATTTTAGTAAACCAGTAAATAAACTATATTAATTGGCATTTTAATTTGTACATTGCTGAAAAATGATAATTTTTACAGTTTTAAATAGAAATTAATGACTTTTAAAGAGATAAAATTTCCTGCATAAAAAGCAATAATATTTTTACCTTTTATGATGTTAGATTTACATTTCCAAACTGTAAAATTTGCTTCTTGCATGACAACAATTTTGTTACTATACAAAATACAAAAATTACAGTTTGAACTTTAATTTTTTCTATTTTGATAACGACGGGCTTGATTTTAGATTTTAAACTGTAATTATTCTTGTTTTCTTTTTTCCGTGATCTCTTGCGTGTTTCCTTCGCGCAATTTTATAGTAGATTAAACTTTTGATCAAAATCACTTGAACCATAACAACTTTACTGAAAACGACTGGGGAGAAAATAAGTCGAATAATAATGTAATGTAATGTAATTTATTGACAAGACTGTAGGACAATGTCCTCTAACGGTCTGAAGATAATACAAAAAAGTACAGAGTATTATGTAAGAATATGATAAAAAATAAGTAATAAATTATGAAATAAGTTTTTACAAAGCAGTAATATTAAGGTCTCTCAACGTCTATTAATTTCTGAAAAATTGTAAGAATAAAGAAAGTGAATATTTAATTGCACAGGCTATCACATAAAATAACAACATGTCTTTACAGAAGTCAGTGACTCAATGTTTCTGGATTAGAAATAGCACACACAGGTCATTAATACTAAGACAATACACTTGCGACCTCAGCTCGCTCTATGGCCATAACATGATTGTAGCATCAGCTAGTTTTAAACACAGCCAGAGATGTCGAAGATGTAATTGCTGGTGGTAGAGAGTTCCAAAATGCAGTGCCTACTACTAGGAACGAGTGCTGCAGAGTTGATGTGCGAGGAATCGGCGCAATAAGCGTATCAGTTCGGTTATTATCTCTGTGCCTGGCAACGTTGTGATTCAGCCTGATACGCTCACACAGCAGAGCATTTTTATCCAACATTAGCATGCCATAAAATACACAACCTAACAAATACAGCCGGCGATTATAAGGTGAGAGCCATCCAAGGTCAAGCCGAGGACCACTGGTATGCTCTCCACGCGGTTTACGCAACACAAACCTCACACAATTGTTCAGCGTGACTGTTAGCTTTTTCTCAAAGTTTAGATTTAGATTCGTAAGAGCTACCGCACAGTAATCAAAGACCGGTAGGATCAAGCTAGTAACAAGCTGCCGTTTCAGATCAATGTTGAGTTCATTAGCTGCTTGACGAAGACGATACAGCATCCTTAATGAATGGATCAAAAAATAATGTTTTCTGTTAACTTTTTAAGTAATTTTTTCTTTTTGTCGGAAGCGGAAGATTTTGTGCGCCCTTTACGCGCTTCACGCTATGAGGTGTGCAATTTCAAAAAATTTTTGAATTGCTGTCACTTCTAAACTAATCGACCGATTTGGCTGATCTTTGAACTTAACCTCGGAAATAGTCCAAAGAATAAGTATTTTACGTTTTATTAAGATCTGTATTGAACTGCGGTATAAAGAAGAGAAAGGGCTGTCTAATATATATAAATTTTTAAATCATATGCATTTTTTGAATCCACTTGACGAGCTGCAGCTTTATGAGTCACAATATAGCAAAAGCGAAATTTACTAAAAAATTTTTATAAGTCAAGTACATTTTAATTGAAATAAACAAACAATTACCAAGTTATTTATTAATAAATTTAAACTCCAATTGTAAAGAAAACCTTGTGACTTAGAATATAATAAATTAATTCTCAAGATAAAAATATAAACGACATCATTGTTAGAATTATTATTATTTAAAATAATCTTTCATTCTTTAACATCTGAGCAAGTTTTTTTTTTATAGTAAACTTGAATATACATGTATATATTTACTAGGTTTTTTATGGGGCAGTCGATTACAAAACGCAATTTATTAAAGACAGAAGAAAAAAGACAGTAAATATATAAAATAAATAAATAAATGTGATTGCACGGTCAGATGCACGAGTGAGACCTTGTCACCGGCGAGCGACCTTGTGCGGATTTTTCTTACGGCGGGGTGTGTGTTAATCTGTAGGTAAGTGTGTTAATATGGATATTATGCAGACACGATGCTCCCGATTGCTGGTCCACTGATCGAACCTGTTAGTCTTTAATAAACAATCATAGTGATCAGTTCAGGAATTTTTTATTTTTACACAGTCAATTTTTTTTTCAATTTCCCACCGAGAAAATTTAATTTTCTTTTTCTTAATTTTTTATTCAAAAAAAATTAATATTTTCTTCGAAATAAATTTTTTATAACTGAGAAAAAAGTGATTTTAATTTGAAAAATTTTATTAAAATTTTTTTATGTAAAAAAAAATTAATATTTTATTCGAAATAAATTTTTTATAACTGAGAAAAAAGTAATTTTAATTAGACAAATTTTATTAAAATTTTTTTGGGTAAAAAAAATTAATTTTGAAATATTTTAGTGATATTTTTATTTTAAAAGTAAATTTTTTATTAAAAAAAAAAAACTGAATTTTGACATAAAACTTAATTTAAAAAAATTTCTAATTATTAATTTTTATTTTTTCAAAATCTATTTTTTATTTATTTGAATTTTTATTTTTTATTTTTTTAAGCTTACGAAATTTTAAACTACTAACTCTCTAATTAAAAGAAATAATTTGCATAAAAATACTTCTAATTATAAATTACCGATATATAATTGACAACAATTAATTATCTCCAAGGTAAAACGTCGGACATGCAAGTGATTGAAGTATTTAACTTTCAAGATTAAATATTAATAAATAAAAAGAGTAATATTGAAATATAAAAGGGACCGATTGAGTAATTTTTATATATCTCACATATGTACACAGAATTCCATGTCAAGTTCAGAGAGTTGCGCAACAAAATAAAAAAATCAAAGAGTTTCTTCCACCACTTTTATATCTTCTAATTTCTAACGCGGAACTGCCAAGGTAAAAAAAAATAAAAAATAAGAAAGAAGACACAAGATAATATAATGAACAAAATTTATTCATAAATGCCTATCTGGCATGCCTGTCTTCCAAAGACTTTTCATTATATCGACACGCGTGACGCTTGTATCAAATGTGCGACAATCAATTGTAAACAAAGTTAACTTTCAAGTGTTAAGCTTAAATTTTTT